TATTTCCGCTGTAGCAAACGTAGTACATAGGGCGACATCTAGATGTCATCTACCTCTCCCTATTCACTACAGATGTCGCCCTATGCACTATGCTTTTTTATGAGCTTTTCAAAGCAAAGGTTTAATGGTGTCGGACACACAACATTGAAAGTTTCTGGATCCACAACATTGAAAGTTTCTGGACACACAACATTGCAAGTTGATAAAAGCGTTGTAATAAAGGCAAACGATGAGAAAATTTTGTGTTCATTTCTTAAAATATCACAGTCTTGTGAGGCAAAAGCTTTTGAAGCTTTCTCGAGGGAGATGGTTGCCCTGAAGATCAGATGGTTGCTTAAAACGACAATACATATATTATTAAATGCGTGAGCCATTTAGGTGAGGACAAAATTAGCATTTTTACAGGATTGAGTGTAACATCAAATACATTTTGCCCATGAAGGGACATAATTTTTTTAAAAGAAACGCAATCACCATTAGTTTTAGACAGTACCTTGTGACAAAACAAAAACAACATTTATTTTGAACACTCTTACCAACGCAGCGAAAGAAAATTAACCTCTGCTTCTCTTTCAATTTACTTAGTCCTCTGGTGGTGAAGGCTGGTACATCAACCTATTCGAACTCACTTACTCTTCATCGAATTCGCTCTTCGAACATCCTGATCGCCCCAATTTGGATGTAAAGCTCACTTCTCCAGCACACACACCCATGTACTTTCCAACGCCCGTCGGCAAATCCTATGTCTGCGATAAAGAGCAGAGCGTCGTTCTGTATGCGCCAATCGATTCGGGTGATATGTCTGGCCATATTGCGCGCCTCTATCTGCGTGATCTGCATATGCAAAGCTTTATGTTCAAGGAGAGTGGCAAGTGGGGTCCACCGTTCCATTGCAGTGCCACTGGGTCATATCGCGATGAGACAGCACCACTAGCAGTGGGCACTGCGTTGGCGATAGCTGTGCTGCTGACCATTTCCGGCTATGGTGGATGGCGGTAAGTACATATCTACATAAATACATACTAAATATTGTAAGAGAGTATGAGTGATAAAAGGTGGGCCATTTTATTGATTTTAATTGAATTTATTTTTATTTTTTAACTTGTAGCTATTTCAAGATCAAGAAAGTGCAATATGGCTCGATGGAGTAAGCTGGAGTGGCTTGATGTAATGTGTATGTATGTACAGTTACTTCGACATTTACGTACCTACTAAAGTATGCACCGCAGATTTTACAATATGCATGTATGTATATTGTGAATGGTTCCGCTTAATGATAAACATCTGCTAAACAAATTTGTTATTGCTCCTAATAGAAATTTACAAAATAGTATTTTAAAATAAACTGATGAAAAAGAAAAAAATAAAATTATCTGAAGGAGTAAAATTATTTCGTTATTCGGTAGTGTATTTGAAAATATGCAGCAAAATACGCTGTGCCAAATGCATGGCGATGAAGCGGAGAAATTGTAAGCGAAATAACAAATGTACTTAAGTACATAAATATTTACGTGCATGAGAATTGCAAAAAGTCTTCCATTATTGTTAAATAAATAAAAAACGAACCAAATTACGCATAATGAATGTAAATGGACACTGCAATGTGAACATATCCTAATCTACACACACCTATATATGTATATTATATGCACATTCAAAATATTTTTGATGAGTATGTTTAAAAAAAACGAGTTTTGTAAATATAAAACTAGTAAAATTTGAACGCTGATACTATGAAAGCGCTTTCTCTTCAAAATGAAAATTAAATTGAACTCGGTTTTTAATTACAAAATATAGAAAATTATTTGCAGACGTTCAAGAATTTCGAACGGTATTATCAATTTCCAATATTAAATTTTACCTTGAATCGCATAAACATTCATACCACATATGAAATCTAAATGTTGTTATTTCTTGCAAAAAAAAGAATGTATGCACACACATATATTATGTATTTAAAAATACATATAACACCACGGAAGCTCTTGGTTAAATTGTCACAAATTTAGCTTTCTTCGTTTAAACATTTTGTTAATTTACTTTCTAAACAAAAAAAAATGTAGTAAAAATTTAATGTTTTGCATATAAAAATTTATATCTATGTAAAGAATAAATAAGATGCTGTAACACTTGAAATATAATACTAATGTTAAAGCTGAATTGAAAAATATTTGATATAAAAAAGAAAATACTGTTTATAAGATAAATTAAATTAAAAATTAAATTCATTAATATATTACCGCATTATTACCTAATAAAAAGATTTTTATAAATTTGCAAATTTAAGTTTTAGAGAATTATTATACATTTGCATACCTAAGAAGTATATACAAAACAAAAAAAGTACCTAAACATTACTAAGCATCAGAACTTGACATTAGATACCACTGAAAATCATTAAGAGAAAAGGTTCTTTAAATTTAATTTGCCGATTTGTTATTAAATTATAGAAAAGCATTAGTATCGATCTACTAGAATTCATGTCTGATAAAGCATAATTTGGTTAATCGAAAGTACTAAAAATTCGTACGCTGAAATGTAAATAGTTGAGTACCCAATTTCCCTAAAAAAATTGATACTTATTATACAAAATTACCTATATAAATACCGAAAATAAATAAACATATTAAACACCACTCTTCCTCTTCTTTTTCTTATTTGGCCCTACAATGATTCGTCGGTTTAGGCCGAGGCCAAACAACTTCACCAATTGCCTCCCCCTTTTATAAGTTTGTGCCATTTGTACATGCCGAGTTCCTTCCATTGTGTTCATTCGCTGCTCACCCGGTGCTCACGCGAACAGAACTATAGACAANCGTAATAAGTCTTATCAGGGCTCTTAGATTCTTCGTCTGAAAAGGAATTTTGCTATCATCCTGTCAGGCATTTTCAGGAAACACTTGGTTATTTTGCAGTTGTTAATAGTGCACTGCACGGCACTCATGAGTTTTGCTTATGAGATCCTTGACCGTTCCCTCTGTGCTTGGTTCTAAAATTTGCTCTGGTCCAATTTGGTGCTTTAGAGAACCAGCCAGTTCGTTACCTTAAATACCGTAGTATTCTGCCACCTACACAAGTTAAAGCTCATTCAACATTGTAACGGAGTTCAGCCTCAGCTTACACTCCTGGACTATCTTTGAAGAGGTGCGAGCGGTTTCCAAGGCCTTTAGAGCAGCTTGGCAGTCACTACAGATCCTGATTTTATGTCCGCGCCATCTTTCGCCAATTACCCAATTATTCAGTTTGCTACTTTCAGTATTGCAAAGACTTCTAATTGAAAGACCGTTGCCATTGCACCCAAAGCAGTAAAGCATCTGAAGTTGCCGTCCATCCGGCTCTAGTACTGTTCTCACAAAACCGTGCTTTTGACCATGGTTGTGCACCACCATTCTACAGCGGAGTACGTGACGTTTAGTCTGGCTGAAACTATTATATCCAGAATACCATAGCCGGTATCAAATCCTAGGTTTTGTAAAGGTTCTTTGACACAGTCTGAAAATTTTCCGCGCTCGATTTACCCTCGGCTTGACGTGAGTTTTCCGAGTCAATTCTGTATCTGGAGTTACCACCATACATTACACCCCTAGTTATTTCACAAGCACTGGAAGTTTGAGACCGTCCAACTTCGCTTTCCGCGTAAACAAGGCTAGAGTTGTTTTGCTGTGATTGACAGAATGGGATGAACACTAAAGGCCCGGCCACACAGAAAGCGGTCTGTCGCGGCGGAAAGTGATCGGGCGATTGTCGCGGCGGTCTGCGATATGCATCACATAGAACACGATATTTTTGTGTGAGCGGTTCAGTGACTTTTCTCCAAATATAATATGTATAGTGTGTATTCGAATTGATTTTTATTTGATATTTTTAAATAGTTGTGAATCAGTGATATATGTACGTAAATCCAAATACATTTTTCTGTGAAAAAATGTGTACTACATAACCTCAAATGGGTAAACACATTTTTTCGAACTTTTATTTATGTTAGGTTATCTCAAAATCCTGATATGGATTCGGATACAGCATATAAAATTCTACCGGAAATCACATACCACAAGCTTGATTTTAATTTTTAATCGTAGCTAGCAATGCGATCACGAGGGAAAGCTGTAATTTTGTGCAACCGGATCGCTCGTCGCCACGACAAAGACTTGCTGGTGGCTGTACACCGCGTCCTGTATGACAGAGATGATTCAAAACTGAATAATACAACCAGACCGCCAGACCGCCTCGATCGGATATCGCTTCTTACCGCGACAGACCGCTTTTTGTGTGGCCGGACCTTAAGAGGGCTATTCACCAAAACCCTTGATCTAATGTATTTCTCGAGAGTGCGCTCCAGACTTTTTAGCATGAAGGATGTTGGGCTGATTGGCCTGAAGCTTTTTGCCAGCGCATGGTAATCCTTTCCAGGTTTGGGAATGAAGACTACCCTGATTCTTCTCCAAAGAGTAGGAAAGTGGCCAAATGCCAGATAGGCCCTAAAGACTCTTTTTGGAGCCCCTACATTTAAACCCATCTCCCTCACACTTTAGCATTTTCGGATATACAACATCTGGGCCCGCTGATAAAGAAGAAGTGAGGATCACTGAACCCTCAGTCCCCATCCATGATGCTATGTACCAGTTAATGTGGTGGCTCTTCTCGTTGTGCTGTACCCCACCATTTCTCCGTCTGCGTCAGGAATAATCCTGCTACGCGGAAAATGAGTTTTTAAAAGAGAGTTTTGTTAGTGCCTAGCAGCGACGTGGTATAAGTTTCATCCGACTTTCTGAGAGGAGGTGCTGTTGAACTACACAGCCCGACAGACTCTTTCATGTTGTCGATATCATTGCAGAGGTCTCTAAAAGAGCTTAATTTTCACATGCGAATTTACCTCTTATATTCCTTCTACATGTTATGGTGTTCGGACCAGTCCTCCTCCATTCGGCTTTTGAAGACCTATTCAGAAGTCTCGTGGACCTTCTTCGAAGTTTGGTAAGTTTCTGCGTTCCGCCGTGGGTCCGCTTTACCCTGTCTGCTTTCTCAAAATAACTAATCAAAGTAATCGTTACCTCGGGGCTCGCCTCTTCAATTGATTTAATGTTTTTGACTTTAATGAGATTTTGTATTCTCGTTTCAATGAGCATCCCAAACTTCTCCCAGTCCGCCTTTGAGGATTCCGACCTTTTGGCATTTTAAAAGTATCAACTCCTAGCCGAAATTCTATCCTTGTTCCCAAGGAAGTTGCACTTCGTGCTTCCCCATATAGTGTTTTGTGAGTTTGTGTCTCTCCCTCGAAGGAGGGCGACTATAGAATCGTATAGCAGGTAAGCGGAGACTATAAGGTCCTCGTCACGTTGCCCGCCCGTACAGTACCAAATTAATTATCACAACGATATCTTCGGAGCAGAACTCTCTAAGCATCGTGCATTCAACCAAACGTGGAACTATAATGCTTGCGCGCGGCCTTTCTGTCCCTATAAATTGAAGGATGTTACCCCAGGAAATCCCCCTAAGTCCACGGATACGCCCGTTGCATACACATGGTTCCTGAATAAGGTATTAGAGCGAAATCTTGTACTTGGATTATTTTATGATTGTTTTTGTATTATAGAGAAGACATTACTTAGTTGGATTGTTTCTCGGAAAAGACTTCAGAAAGGTAAGTGCATACAACGCCGTTAGATAGTAAATTTTACACATATATTCGCGAAACCAGGGCCCAAATATAGGAAAATTGGGTTTTTAGTTTTTCACTCTGACGTCAGTAATTCAAAAATGATTAAAAAAAATCAGTGAAATGTTCTTAGAGAAGAAGTATGGGTATAAAATTAAAGAGGAAACTCTGTAGAACTTAAACCAACTCAATTTTTTGGCACATAAGGACTGGTAAGTATTGTAAATGTCCTTTTAAAATTTTAACCTTGAAATTTCGCAATATTTGTTTTTGAAAAAATTATATAGTAAGGACTTATATAAAAACGTTAACATCCTCGAATTTCGTCCTTCTAACTTTCTAACGGGTGGACCGGAGGCGGTCTGGGGAGCTCCTGAGATTAAGCAAGCTGCATCTCTCAGTATCGGTGCGAGTGCTTACTGGTCACTGTGTGATTGGTAACCATGCCGTAAGGCTGAATGTCGTGGATAACCCTTAATGCACCAGTTGCATGAAGGACGATGAGGTGGAATCATCTCAACATCTGCTGCTCTGGTGGCCTGCCTTTGCGAGCCTAAGGTTTAAGCACTTCGGGTCGCTCTGGCTATATTTCCCGATGAGCTCTCGGGAATGGACATTAGTCGACTGAAGAGCTTCGTCGTGGGCACGGAGCGTTTCTCCGGCAAAAAGCCATAGGTGTCGTCTTTCTCCCATAGCTTCCCCACTCTTTCCCCTACCCATTCACTCTTACAATGGACAGCTTAGTCGAGTCCAAGGGTGCCTCCATATGTGGTATGTTTCAAGCCCATTTATTCATTATTAATTTTATGGTAGGAGAGCTGCTCAAACAATATAGAAGCATTTTTTCTATTTAAGTTGTTCAAAAGTAATGAATATCTAAATTCCGGGACTTATCCCGGGATTCCGGGATTATAATTACGACATTTCGAAAATCTGGGGATCATAAAAAGCGAAAAAACAAACATCCCTATTACATATGGTGGACTCCTGCTGTGCCAACGGCATTTCCATTAGATTTTAGTAGGACACTTTTCAAAAGCATAGAATTGATTTTGTAATATTGACCTAAGCCAATTTGATTTGGTAAGGCACTGGCGATTTCTTTGGCTTTCTATGCTCACATCCTATTGCTCTAAGTACTTCTATTGGTCCCGAGACAGCTTTGCACTCATTGAATGCTGTTTAGCCATCGATTTGTAAACTACGTACAGGTACGTACAGGTACATTTATTAATTTGCATAAATATATTTACTATTTGCATATTTGTATATTTGCATTGCAAATGGACACTCATAAGTATTTGTGCCACGTATGGTTGGTTGGTTAATGCATTTTAAAACCGTTCAAAATTTCCATAAACAAGCATCACCAGTTGAGTAGAAACATTTCGATGTGTTTGCCATTGCGCACAAATCGTTCAAAGAAGAAATCGGAAAACAAATCGAAGGCGGCCATTCGCTTTGAACGATGATTAGTTATGGTTTTAGTTTTTCTTACTTTCGCACTGAGTTGCGTTGCTGCAGCCATTTTAGTTAGTTGGTCGGTCGCGCACAAGCAGAGCATGAACAATGAGGCAGCCAGGTAACATTGAACAAGCCGACCAACCGACAAATAACAATAACATATCAAAGCCCATGCACATTGTGGCGTGCACCGTGATTGTTAAAATCGTGCGCGTATATGTAGTCATACGTAGAAATAAATATGTACATACAAATGTACATATGTAAGTATGTGCCTTAACAATAGCCGCAGAGAGTGTAAATATTGGTTCAACATTTACTTTGAATAGACAGCTGAGCTGAGTACTATGTGCGAGCGGCAACAAAATGAATGGAAGAAAAGTAGTAGTAGCCAGAAGATGAGCCAGCATATATAGCATATATTTGGGTTGAAACAAGTAGGGATTAATAGTTATGCTGATAATCAGGAGTCTAAGTCAAGCTAAATATAAATACACAGAGGCGCAATAATTC